CTCATGCCACTTCCCAGCACATTTCCCAGCCAGAGCCTCAGGCTCCCATGGCTCACACAGCAAAGCCACATTCTTGTTTTAACATATGCAAATAACACACAGGCACATGCTGTCACGGGTGCCACCAAGTAGGGGAATTTTTTTTTTTTTTTGAAGAGGGAACAGATTACTAGAGTCACACAACTGTACAATTCGGTGTGGCCAAGAAAGAAGTGAAAGACGCTGTGATCACATCACTTAATTGTGGCGCCAGCTGGGCTGAATGATCCTCACCTTTGTGTATAAGGATTCTGAGTACTAGTCAGCTCCAGGAAAGCTGTCCTAGTCATCTTGGAACCACTTCCCCCAAAAACCAACAAAGATGTTGTATGCGGTGTTAAACTGCATTTCATTCCAAGTGAGTGGTGGAGGCGTTTCATTTTGGCTTGCAGATTACCTTTTTCAAAAGAGACAGACATCCAATGTTCTTGCCAGAAGCAGGTAAAAACAGGTGGGAGCAAGAGACTCGCTACCGTGTGCTCGTTAGAATAAAAATTATAGTGTTTGCCTGGAAGAACTATTTTGGGGAACGCCAAAAGAAACAGGGAAGCAAAGTAACTGTTGGAGGAAAGATACAATCACAACAAGCTGCAATCAGGAAAATGTGCTAAATCATCTCCTCACTTAGCCTTAGGAACTTTGATACTGACTTTGAAATACAAGCATTCGTGCAGCAAAAATAAGGTTTATAATGCTCAAGTGTGAGAACAGATGAAAATTCTCTCAATTTAAACCCACTTTACCAGGGCATTTTTCAATTCTGTGGCTTTTTGAAGAAGAAATAATAAAAAAACCAAAGCACATAACAACCGCATAACCTTTTTCTCTCTCCTGCTTGTCTCCTGGCTCCAGAGCGCTACATTACGCTGGCACATTACAAAAATGTAAACTAGTAAGTTATTACATCATGAAAAAAAAAAAAAAATGAGGATATTCAACTGAGGAAAAAATAGCTAGGACACTAAATTTAGAGTGTGTGTGGGAAAAAATAAACTCCCCAAATCAAACCTAAATGCACAATAATCCAGTTTAATCAACCCCATTAATCAAGGGATGTGAAAGACAACAGCCCTATATCCTTGTAGGTTTTACTCCTGCTTCCATAAACCCCTGCAGCTTCACACTAGAAGGTACCAATCTGTCACCTTCCTCAGTCCTGTTGTTGTGCTCCACAGAATACCCCCTCCAGCACCCACCTGCTCTCCCGCTGGTTGCCTCCAGGCTCAGAAAAGGCCACATCCCTCTCTCCAGGGAGGAAGAGGACAGGGAAAGCTAGAGCCGCTCCACGCCTCAGTGCCAGGGCACAGCCTGGAAGCAGAGCAGGAAAAAACCAAGGCAGCTGCAGCCATTGTAGAACCACTAGAAGGATGTGCTTTAAAAAACAGAATACCCTCTACTCCCCACTTTAACATGGAGAAGTTAAACACACATTTTTTTTTTTCTGGATTATTATTATTATTGCTACCTGAAGATTATTGCTATTTGAAGTTTAGCTTCACCTTTACCTGTCAGCTCAAAGACATTATCAACTGCTCTCAGTGATCCCAAGGGAGACCCCATGTTATCCAAGGCAAAAGCATTTTCTAAGTTTGTCTGAACCCTCACAGATTTCTGACATAAAACAATTATAGAAGAGGCAAGAAAGACTCTAAGGGAAGCAGAATTTCCTCTGCCTATGCTGAAGTTCCTGAAAAAATAAGTTTTACTTAACAACATCAGTACGAATGTATCATAGACAATCCCCTGCTTAACAAATTGACCAGGAGAGCTATGGAACAATTGACAGCACAGGGGAAGCAAAGAATCACTTGTCACAACCTACTGGGATGTCTACAGTGCCTTGTGCCCAGGAGGTGGAAATACAAACCCAGCCACTGAAGACCAAAATGCAATAAGCTGATGTGAATAGAAAGACCAGACCTGGGAGCACATACTGTAAGCATGTGGGGAACTATCTCCTCCCTCCCAGCTTCTCAAAGAGCACATATGGCTTGGGTAGCGTCCCAAATAAGGCAACAGAGGCAGCACTCTGGTATCACCCAGGAGATTCAGGAAACTCCTGTGATAGTTGGAAATAGCAGAGGAGGGGGGGGAGGGGAAAAAAAAAAATCAGAGTAGCTTCCACAATGTGAGAAGAGGAGAAACGGAGAAGAGTTAAAGAGAAGCCAATGCGTATTTAAATACAGGAAGTGAGGCAGAGCAGAGACAGACAGGGGGAAGAAAATTAACTGAAGAAGTTGGGAGTTAGAAAGCTAGCAAGACAAATGGAAAGAAAAGCCAGCAATCTTCTTGGAAAAATGCAAACAAACATTTTGTTTGAAGGGAAGCAATATTCTTTGGGTCTAGAAGACTCCATAGTTCTGAAATCGCTGCTTTGCCCATCCTCTGCTTGAAAGAATTAACGGACCTCTCCCAAAGGTGAGCAATCAATTCCATTAATCCTTCAGAATGATGTCTGGATGAGAATCCCTTTGTAACTCACAAGTTCGACCTAAACTAGCCCTACAGTGTGAAAAGTGACTGGGCGGGGGGAGACAGGACAAGAGGAGCACTTGTAGCGGAGGTGTCTAATTAAACATTGTACCAAAGCACAGAAACATGTCTCTGATTTAAGAGTTAAGAAGGGATCCCCGGGACTTTCTACCTTAGCTTAGATCTTGTTACCTAGGTAGAACAAGGGATGCGTTCACCAAAAATATCTTCCCTGGGGCCATACACAAGTTGAAACAAGAAAAGGCATACCTTAAACCATTTGCAGCTACACTATTTCACCTCCCCTTGCTCTCCATTCTCAGCTCAACCCAGGCTTGACCATTATTTTCATAGCTGATAAAAACCATACGTTTGGATTCTTAGAATAAGACAGAAGATTACACACTGAATTGCGTATCAGGGCTAGGGACAAAAAATGATGTTCTTCTGTCAAATGCAGAGTTTAATCAACAAGGCCATTGAAATCTGTGATTGTGTACACACAGTGTCACAAAAGTGTAAATGAGCCCAAAACACTATGTACAACTCAGCTAAAACCTCTCAGGAATCACTCTTTTCCCAGAGACGGCGTGATTTAGCCTAAAGAAGGATTATGTTATCATCTTCACAGCCCCATTCAGTAGGAGGCAATAAAAAGTATGCACAATTTAGAAAAATACTGCAAGATACCCTTCAGACTGCACTGCTATACCCTTTGTTTACAAATAAGGCTCCTGAAGATAACGGTGTCCATTCATAGCTTTATTTCCACACATGACTGCAGTGGCCAAGTCCACAGAGCTGTTCCTGTGGTGGGGAAAGGGTGCGGCTAAGCATATCAGTACCAGGGCCTAAGCCAACGTGTGACTGGCCACAGACAAAGTATGTTGTCTAGAAGTGATGACACAAAACAGTCACTCCTGTCGCTGAACGCTTGGTAAATTATCTGCTTGAGTGATGTCATTGCTGGGCTTCTTGATAGTCTAATAAAAGCCATTTTTGGCAACCGCTTGAAACGCACATTTTGATAAAGACTTTAACGGAGAGCCTCAAAATGATCAACAAGTTTCCAGTAAACGTAGCAGAGGAGAATAACCGCTCCCCGAAGGGAGGGCCTCCCGAGCAGGGTGCTCTCCGGCCAGCTAGCGATGCAACACCCTGCCTGCAGAGCGTACAGCAAGTCACGGCCCGATAGCAAGTCTCCCGTTAACCCGCCCCAGCAGGAGCCACCGCCCGCCCTCGCCCCTGGG